TCTTCTGCCATGTTGAGTGCACGCCGGGTGAGGGGTGGGCTGCGTCTGGGGGGAGGGAAGGAGAGAGGGAGAGAGAGGAAGGGGGTGGGGGGGTGCAAGGAGGGACTCAAGGGAATAAGAAAGCAATTAGATGACAGCCCCTCTTCCTTCCAGTCCGGGAATGTATAACGGAATTAGCCGGGAGTGGGGGCACCGAGTGGGCACTGAAGGGGGGAAAGGGGAGCGGAGAAATGCTAGGGTGCATCGTCCCACCGCCTCTGCTGCACTGTCAGGTAATATTAGGGTGAGGATCTGTCAAATACATAGGGAAAAAATAACACAGGATTGAAAAAAGTGTAGTTATAATACATTTCAATGAATTATGTAACAAGGCAAACAGTTTAACAATAGCAAGATCAAAAAGCTGTTAGCATGTGTTGCTTGGTTTTTAATGAATATAATAAGATAGAGAGTGATTTAGGTATAATTTGAAATTTGGTGTCATTTTAAGGGGCATTGTGTAACTTTTCTGGTGAGGGGTCCTTCAAATGCTTTTTTCCATGGGGAGAGTATGGTATTAAACCTTTCCATCTTCATGGAGACAAAGCCAGACCAAGTTACAGGTCAAATCTGTGGAGAGGCAACCCTGCTCACAGTCAGAATGCTGTTTTTTCTAGGTATTTCTGAGCAATAAAACCACATGTAATTTAGTGAATATGAGGCAGAGAAGTTTCATGTCATACTGTGGAACTTTCTAGGCAGAGCAATGACATACGTATAAACAAACAGGTGACAAACCCCAACCAAAAAGTTACATAGTGCACCTTTAAGGGTCATCTACAACACTACAAATATTATTCCTTTATTTTTTGTTAATTTATAATAATTCACTTTGAGTTCAAATCCCTGGATATCGAAAACAGACCTTGACCTACCTTTCTTGCAATTGCATGAATAGAAAAATGCCCTGATGGTGGTCTATATTCTGAGCAATACAACTAAACATTGCAATATAAATTCAAAAATTATGTGTTTGGTTTTATACATTATAATTTCACTCCCGATTCAGAAGTGTCCTTGTGCAGTCTAGCGGCCTGTCTGCCAGTGTGGCTATGAGAGAGGCAGCAGATGGGGGTGGTGCTGGACTCGAGTGATTGCCATTGCCACGGCTCCGTGTACGTGTGTGCGTGTGGGGAAGGGGGCAGATATTTATCATGCTGTGAGGACTAAAATCTGTATCCACAATCAATTCATGGGGACAGGCCTCTCTTATGGGAACAAAAATCATGTCCCCATGATGTATTATCTTTATTATTAGATTAGCAACATGATTTAAATTTAAGATATGGATTAAAATAGGTTAAGGTTAGGGTTTAAGTCAAGGTTAGGCAAGTAGTGACTATGGTTAAGGTTAGGATCAGTCTCCAGGAAATGACTGCAAGTCAATATAAGGTCCCCAAGAAGAATGGAAACCTATGTGTGTGTGTGTGTGTGTGTGTGTGTGTGTGTGTGTGTGTGTGTGTGTGTGTGTGTGTGCGTGCGTGCGTGTGTGTGTAGGAGAGAGTGATTGGTGAAGTACTGATGGGAGGAGTGCGTGTGTTGTGGGACCACCTGCTCTTACCTCTCTCTCCCTGTCTCTCTATCCCTCCCTCTCTCCCTTTCTCTCTGTCCCTGACTGTTTCCTTCCTTCTCTCGTTCTGTGTGTGTCTCTGGAGGGAGAGAGAGAGAGAGAGAGGGCAAACAGCAGCTTCAAAGCTCTTCTCGTCTCAGGTTTGCTCCCCCTCCCTCCTCTTTGAGTGGGTGGTGGGGAAGGGCATGTGTGTCTGGGAATTGTGTGTGTGTACGTGAGTGTGTGTGCGCCACAGCAAAAACTGAACCAGCTATTTCTGATGTGCAGCCTGTCATGTATGTTTTGTGATTTTTGTATGTATGGTCAATGAGATTCTGAACACAACCTAATCTACAGTCTACATAAAAATCCATGTTCTCTTCCAGATAGCTTACAGATAGCACTGCCTTCATCAGAGCCATGACTTTTTTAAACATAAAATGAGTAAAATATATTTCTATTTATAAGTAAGGCTCGTGTCTGTAGGGGTGAGATGTCTGAGGCTGCCGCTGTGTGTGTGGTACAAGGAGATATGTCCGCGAGTGTGTCAGTGATGTGCTATGAATGAAAATAAGGAGTAAGAGGAGGGAGGGGAGGAGCAAGGAGGAAGGGAGGGAGGAGGAGGAAAGAGGGGGAGGAGAGAGGAGGAGGAGAGAGGGGGAGGGCTCAGCTTCTCCACCCACTGTCTCCCTCCAAGCCACATCCGCGCATCTTGCATCCTCCCATCAATAATCATCATCGTTCTACCTTCCTCTTACTTGTCACAATAGGGCACATTGGTCATTTTGGATCTGGCTGCGTGCATCTGAGGGTGATGCATTGAGCGTACAAACGGCGCCGCCATCCTCTCCTCCCCATCGCGCATAAACGCTCCTTGCGCAATTAAAAAGGACAAACGAAAGAAAAGAGCAGAGCACGACATCTTCACACTTTGAAAACGAATCCGCGAGCAATCAGGGCACACACACGCGCACACGCTGGTTCAAGGGCGATTGATTTGGGGTTTAATTTCTCTCCGTGAGGCTTTGCACGCTAAAGGATGTGCCTCAGTCTGACCTTGACGACAAACGGGGGGAGTTCTGTCTCTGTCGCTAGCGTCCAGGGCATACACAGCAGCACATTAAAAGACATAAAAATCAATAAATAAATAAAACAGCACTTCACCTGGTCTTTCTGTAATGAATGCTTCTGATCTGTTTTCTAATTTTAGCAAAAGTAAAAATAGTCCAAGATTCAGCTGAGGTGGAAAAATAGTCAGTCGTTAAATAATTTATGAGTTTCCTCCTGCTCCTTTAAGGCTTGGTGTTGCTCTCTGCTTTGAAATATTTTTTTTATTATTTTTATCTTGATTAACAATGGGAAACAAGAGAACCAAAACACAATATTTTACATTATTTTGTATTTATCAGGGAGCCAGAGGACAGCCAGATTCAAAATGTCCAATGCACTCAATTCCTAAGTTATATTTTTATTTGATTATAATGTGATTTTACTATCTCTCTTTGGGTACAAAATGTGCTTTACAACCAAGCCTGCCTTGCCATGAGTCAAAATTGACATGGTTAGCTACAGAAGGCCCCAGTGTCTCTCATATGGGAGTAGTCTGTCTTGAAATATCATGAATAAAATTGGTTCACCATTTTCAATACCAAGCTAAAATCGCAAATTTACCAACATGATACGGTCTGATTAAAAACATACAATTGGTATGACTTTTCTGTAACCCAAAGCTTCTACTCTGCTATAGCAATTGGCAAGCCCTGATTTGGAGCGCTTCGCCTGTTGTGGATGGGTTAATCGTTGCAGGGAGCGATACTTGCAGGGATGGTTTGTTTGATCAATGAGGATCTGAGTGAAGCGTGAGTTTGCCTGCAGCTCTCACATCAAGCGAGGTGGACATGGGTTACAAACAGACAGCTTTCAAGTATCGTTTGGATTTATTCCTCATTTTTGCTACATATAAGTATTAAACTCGTGAGGGAACAAATTCAATCTTGCATGTATAGATAGCCCAAAGCTTAGCAAATCAAAATTGTGTTTACGCATGCAGCATGTGTTATATGAGGCTAATCATACTGGTCCAGATCTCTAATATACGATGATATATAGTTAAAATATATGGTAGGCCATATTCAATAGTCATTCAACAATAATTCAAAAGTATAAATCTGATATTTTGATGGGGTGGAGGTGTTGGGGTCAGGGTCGACTTCACACACACACCACGCAAACCTCAGATCAATGGGAGGCAGACCAGGAGGGGGACCGCTCACTGTTGCCATAGAAACGGGAGGACAGTGGTGCTGGATACTGTTACCGGGCAGGAGAGGGGTGGTCTGCTGTGGAAGATAAACAGCATCAACATAGGATGATATTTATGACATTTTAATGTGACATAATTTATTAAACACGCACAAAGTTAGAATTTGAACTCCTCCACCTCGTGACTTCCTGAGTTTCACACGTCAGTTTGTGTTGGATTCTTTTTTTTTTTTAGTTATGAAACCATCAAACGATTTCCAGTTTGTAGTCTGCTAAGATATAGAGCACCCCCTAGTGTTACTCACCTTGAAGTGCAACAATAAAAAAGGCTTTTGATGCAAGCTATTGAAGAAGACAACGTGCAGCATTTTTTTTTGGCAGGTCATGCTGAGAGAGTGTTTGTGTAAAAATCTTTTTGTATAACGCCTATGCATGTGAAATATGCCTCAACTTACCCGTCGCAGATAATTGATTTATGCTAAATGATGTAGAATATCTTTATTATCAAATCCACGAAAGACTCCTTACTCGTGCTTTAAGAAAGGCCAAAATGGGAGAAATTAAATGGGCGTGTTTTTACTTACAACCAATCAAACGGGCGCAGCGGCCTCCCCGGGTCACCTGATATTATTTATTTATTTTATTATTATTATTATTTTTTTTTTTTTTAAGAAAAAACATTAATAAAGTAAATGATCACAACTAAAATTAAAACAATGTCAAGTTAAAAAAAAGTACAATGCGATGCATTGTATTTTTCTAGAAAAGAGGTAAGTCTATTTGTTTTAATCCCCAATGCTTGACGTGGTTTGTGCGCCATCTAGTGGAAATAATATAATTTCAGCGTAATTGTGTCAGAAATGTAGAACATATATATATATATATATATATATATAATAAGTAAATAAATTAAATTTGTGGAACAGTAGAATTTAAGCAGTGCATTTGCATTACATGAAGTTATCATGTGTAAAGTTGTGCCCAGAACTACATATAAAAACTTTGGAGAAATAAAAGCATTTTCAGCACCATGGACAGCGACCTAGTTTACAGAAAAATATTTATAATAATACCACACAATACACGGCTAGAAAAAAAAGTGACTGTTACATAGATTGCATCAGTTATAGCTACAGAAGCATGCACACACTCTTTTTATTGCACACTTTATTTATGTAGTAAACAGATCTTCACAGTAACAATGCAGTATAGCAGAACAGAAGAAAACACGGTGCAGCTTGGTTTTCAAATTATTTATAGATATTTACATAGAAAATAAAAACTGTTCAGTTTAATGATGAAGTCTTAGCTTTCTGTTGGTATAGATTAAAATCCTGTGAAGCGAACCCAGGAAACATTCAAGTCACATGTATCTTTCATTGCACTAGAACTGGGTCAGCCAGTACACAGGTGGGAATAAGGGGCAGAAAAAGAAGTCATAAAAAATAAAAATAATAAAAAATTGAAAAACTAAAAAGTAAGAATTGCACAGACACCATTTCAGCATTACATTTAAATCAACAGTTGTTTGTGTCCAGTATCTTAATATAAAAATAGTACCTGAAGTAAATTTTAAATTAAAAAATGAAACATAATTTTAGTGAATGAATTTTAGTGGCTTTTTAATAAATAGCTTAATATACAGTATTTGTATTTTGCATTGTATGAACTGTAAAATAGTACAAAAGCACAAATTAAGTGTGCTTTTTGAAATAATCATGAAAATTGTTACATCTTAAAGAAGACATTAGATTTAGGGGTTAGAAAGTGAGACATTTTGACACCAAAAATATGCCCTGTAAAACCAACCAGAAAATAGTAAACACACAGAGTAAGTTCATAAGGCTAAGTGAGGGTCCTGCTGAATACAGTCAACTGCACTTCTTACATGTGTTATGATATAATGTTATAATGACAATGACACCTTTAGATAAACTCATTGTTAAAGCTTATCGTCCATTAGCATGACCATGCACTCTCCGGTTCATTTTTGGATATGTCTTTTATATTCAACATTGAAACGCTTTATTTAAAACATGACAGAACACAGCAGTGGCTCCATTATGTGATAAACAACATTTGATAAAACAAAATACATTTGTATCTAACAAATACAAAACTTCAGTCAGAGCAGTCTTCGGCTAATGTTTCTAAAAACACTTAGAAGCAAGGTCCACCCAGGCAGGTCTTGGAATTCACTGAATTCAGCATGGCACAATCCCAAAAATCAAAGTACCACAGATCCGGTCCATTATCCGTGTGTGGTAGGTGGCTCACTACCTGTACCCTGGACTCCTGTGGGTGGCTGTGACCTCAGCCAAGTCCTCCTCCACCACATTGATGTACCCTTCTTTGTCTATGCAGCCTGCTAGGACCTGCAGGATCAGCCGGAGGCGACGGTCTAAGGCCTGTAGGTGCGGCTGGATCAGGATAGGGCTCAAACGGTCCTGGAGCAGAGACTCTTCCATCAGGGTGCTCAAGCGGTACTCCTCTTTGGCCAGCAGCTGAAGCCGGAGATATGTCGACTTTCGAACTCTGCAAAAGGCATGTTTATAGAGATTTAGACTATATTCGACAGGGTTCAAAATAAAAGGCGTTTAGTTTAATAAAAATAACTAAAAGTATCTAAATGTAAAACTGTATGGGCCTTCTACAAATATTTTTCAGCTAAACCAATACTGACCACCTACCTGCAGCACTGACTGAGAGGCACCAGAATAGACACCTCATCATGGGAATTTTCCAAACCTTAAAAAACACACACACCACAACATTAATTTAGACACATTTTCTATACTCTACTAACTTTTGAAACAGATCTTAGACTTACCCTCTCCCATTGTCAAGGTGAATGATGAAGGTGTCATTTCCGAACTTCTCAAAGGTTTCATAATGATGGCGGTCCATGTTACCTTTAAAAATGGCACTGGGTTTAAATCCACTTTCAAATGATCAACAACATATTTTAAACATTATCCCAACACATTTCTTACCCATCAAAAAGTCAAAAATGGTCATGTCCATAATGTCCAGAAGCCGTGTACCTCGATCATACGGAGGTGTCTGCTTGACCTCATCGCAATAATCAGGGTCCACCTCCCATCTGCACATTTAACAAGTATTAGGGAGGGTTAGCACAAAATGACTTCACTTCAAACAGATTTATAAATACGTACTCTGCCTTTTTGCGTTTGTGATATGAGCGTCTCCATGGGTTTCTCCAAGTCTTACGTTTGGCTAAGTTCAGGTCTGGCAGGAATGCAGCGAGTGAGCCCTCAATCTGATCTGGTTTACCGCACAGGGCGTGTTCAGTGGAGCAGTAGTAAGAGCATTCGCCATAGAAGCACACATTGTTCGCTAAAAAAACAAGAAATGAAAAAGTAGTTGTTTAATGCTGGTATTATTACACACAGTCTTTTAATGCAATGGTAAAAGACACATACAGACTGCATATTTATTGTATTTATTATATATGCATACAGATATACACGTAAACAAATTCCTAAGATAAATTTTATGCATTTCATGACAAGAGAGAGGTAAAATATTTCCTTCCAAATGCATGAGAAAAATATTATTATTACAAGTATTATCATATAACTATACAGACTTATTTGGTTCAAAAGGAAAGATTGTTTTTATTAAGGCAGTGACATCCCCGATCAGCTGTATGCTTTTACTGCCATCTTGTGGAAACAGACAAACACTGCACCTTTGCAAAGCTGTAGATACAAGTAGTTTGCAAAGCCCATTTTCTCCATGACCAAGATCACTTCAATACTTTGGCTTCAACAGTGATTCAGTAAGAGTGTCGATTTAACATTGAGTCCAACCACAATGTAAGTGAGTTTAAAGCCTCTCCTTCTCTCTCTCTCTCTCTCACTCTCCCTGTCGTCTCTTTGTCAGTCTCTGTCTATCTATATATCTTAGACTTAGACTTAGAGAAGATCCACAAGTGAATTTTTTTTGGATTGGACACAGATAATATAATATAATAACAAAGAGTATAATAATATATATATATATATATATATATATATATATATATATATATATATATATATATATATATATATATATATATATATATATATATATATATATATATATATATATATATATAGAATATATATAGATATATATATAGAATATATATAATATAGAATTTATTATTACCTATATATATATATATATATATATATATATATATATATATATATATATATATATATATATATAAATGGTAATAATACATTTTAAATCAATAGCAAAAAAGAGCAGGAGAAGGAGGTGTCAAACAAAACAACATAATTATATAAATGTAAATGTACAAGTCAAAATAAAATAGAAGGATAAGTAATAAAAAAAAAATCACAGCTTATACAAGAGGTCATAGAAAGACAGTGCAGCAATGATACGATTATTGACAGAACATAGGGTTATCTGTTACATGAGGACATACATTGTTGCACAGTTGTAGGGAGTATTATCTGTTACAAAAGGGTGAGTTGTGAAGGTGAGATATCTGTATATCTATCTCTCTGGTTCTCTCTATCTTCATCTCTCTCTGTCTCTCACTCCGTCTCTATCTCTCTCTCTCTGTACCACTCTCTCTGTGTCTCTTTCTCTGTCCTTCTTTCTCTTTCTCAGTGAGTCTCTCTCTTTCTCTCTGTCTCTCTCTCTGTCCTCACTGTCCCTCTCTCTCTGTGTCTCTGTGCCCCCCCCGTTTCTCTCTCTGTTCCCCTCTCGCTCTGTGTCTCTTTCTCTGTCTCTCTGTGTGTCTCTCTCTGTCCCTTTCTCTCTGTATGTCTCTGTCCCTCTCTCTCTTTCTCTCTCTGTCTCTTTTTCTGTCCCCCCACCTCTCTCTCTCTCTCTCTCTCTCTCTGTGTCTCTTTCTCTGCCTCCCCCCTTCTCTCTCTCTCTCAGTGTCTCTCTTTTTATCTCTCTTTCTGTCCCTCTCTCTCTGTGTCTCTGTGCCTCTGTGCCCCCCATTTCTCTCTCTGTTCCCCTCTCGATCTTCGTCTCTTTCTCTGTCTCTCTATCACTCTTTCTCTATCTCTCTGTGTGTCTCTTTCTCTGTCCCTCTCTCTCCCTCTCTCTCTCTGTCTCTCTCTCTGTCTCTGTGACCCCCCCCTTCTCTCTCTGTTCCCCTCTCGCTCTGCATCTCTTTCTCTATCTCTCTGTGTGTCTCTCTCTCTCTGTGTCTCTTTCTCTGTCTCTCTCTCTCTCTCTGTCCCCCTCTCTCTCTCTGCCTCTCCCTCTCTGTGTCTCTTCCTCTGTCTTTCTTTCTCTCCTCTCTGTTTGCTCTCTCTTTCTCTCTCTCTGTGTGTCTCTATCTCTGTCCTTTTCTCTCTCTTTGTCTCTGTCTTTCTCTCTCTATCCCTCTCTTTCTGTGTCTCTCTGTCTATCCCTCTCTCTGTGTCTCTTTCTCTGTCTCTGTCTCTGTCTCTCACTTTTTGTCAGTCTATCTCCTCCCGCTATCTCTCTCTCACCTGGAGAGATAAAGAACGTCCTCCACAGCTTCTTGTCACGTGTCACATCTCGGATCTCTCTGGTCATGTTGACGAGGCGGCCGGCCACTGGGGGCACTCTGCGGAAATCTAGAATTCTGAAACAGACAGGTGCGGACGACAACGGTGAGATATAAAGTCACGGAAAACACATCCACACACAAACGCTCGAACATCACAAGCATTAAGACTGAACGCTCTTTGCCACTGAAAGAGAGATCAGACCAGAGGCTTGACAGACCGCAGGCTTCCCAAGCACTTATGTAATGTGTTTTTGCGCAGTGATATCACATACTTCCTTGAGTGTCCAAAAAGTGCTTTATAAGTTTGATGTATTCTTTATTATGTACAACACTGTCTTTTATCCTATACAAAACTACTAGTACATCCCTTATATCCGCTTTTCCCCAAATGCCATGGCCTTACCCACCTTCCTGTTCGCTGTGTTTTGTCTGCCTCTGTTCTCATGCTCTTATGTCAGAACACTACACTTATTCACCCCCTGTTTAGCGTGTCCCCCTGTGTGTTTGCTGACCCCTTGCAGGCCGAAGCTAAGCCTCCTGGGAGCTGCGTGGACGTACACCAGACAGAGGCCGGACCAGAGAGAGAGACACTGGGAGAAACTTTAGCCTTAAGAGAGGGGCATTGAGAAACAGCAAAGTGCACCGTCATGCAGGGCCCACGGCGACAAAGGAGCACCTGTGTGAGTGTGCTGCAGAGGATACACTGAGCTGTGTATTGTGAGAGACTGATGCAAACACACAGCACCGGGGGGACAGATGGCACTGACGGAGGGAAAACTTTGAAGCAATTAAGAGTGACAAAGTACTGTGATATGGCAAGAGAAACTCACAATCATTTAAAAAGCCCATATTACGCTACTTTCTGATAAATGTTATAATGTTTTCTCATCACAAACATATCTGGATTTGCATTTTGTTTCATTCACACATATTTAATACACAAACCCTGCACATTTAGGCTGAGTCTTTCTCTCAAACGGAAAACACTCTGGATAATTTCAGAAAATAGCTGTTAACATGAAAACTACCACATCATGACATCACAAGGAGGAACAGGGCATTTTGATGTTTGGAGATATAAACAAAGTATTACTCAAAGTATTACTCAAATATGTGTGAATGAAACAAAACTTACCTCCGGTTTGTGATGAGGTAACTAAAAACTAAAACTACTTTTAAATAGTTTTATGATGGAAATGAACTTGCTTCTGGGTATAAAATAAAGCTGGTAGAAATATGATCATTACTTAAAGAATCTTTTGTTAACAGATAAAACCAGCAGCAGCTACCCATGATAATTTGGATAAATAAAAATTGATGAACTGGCTAAAACTCTCTGATAAACTTGAATGAAATTAAAGGATAATATTGGATTAATAAAGTCAGCACACAAAAAGCCCAGTGTGTGATGTCAGCCTATAACCGGAGCTTATTCAATATTTACATAGAATATAAGTTCGAAGGAATGATGGATATGCACCATATATTCTTAAAGGGCATACCTATCCAAATGAAAGGCTGCGATTTCTGCATTGTGTCTCTCAAAGTCAGAGAAGTAGAAAAAGTCTGGCGGTGTCTGCTGGTCACGGGTTTGCCTGAAAAACAAAAGAGACACACCATTAGTATGTACATTATATAAATTTATTCCCCTCACACACACAAACTGGACAGTGCCAAGAAGAAGGCAAGGAGGTCGGATTCTGAACACATGAGGAGTGTGTTTGGTCTGATAAGCATAAAAGTGTCACAGGCCTCTTGAAAGGTCCTATATTACTCAGAACTGACTCTAGAGAGCTTTAAGACATGTTAAAATGTTGTTACCTCATCAAAAACATACCTGGATATGAGTTTTATTTCATTCACATGTGTTTGAGTAACCCTTCATTACGTCTGTCTACATCTCTAAAGCTCAAAATGTTCTCTTCCTGTTCTCTTCCATCTTGTGATGTCATGAAATGGTAGTTTTCCAGATAACAGCTGCCTTCTACCTTTTTTCTATACAGACTGGCAATTCTAGGGCTAAAATCATCCAGTGATTCTAGTGAAGGTGTGTTGAGTTTAAAAACACAGTGGATAACTTCCTGTATTACCATTTGACATCATAAGGCGGAACAGAGTGTTCCCAGTTTTGAGAGAAGAAATCAAGAACCAAGAACCTAAATATAAACAAAACAAAATTCCAGGTATGTCGATCTGCTGATTAAAATAGTTTGCACTAAATATTAGAAAAAGGAAACATACAGACAATGCTACTAAAACTACAGTCTCTATACAGCTTAGCAACAAAAAAGTTGATTTCAAGTTTAGTCACACACATTAATGCTCCATTGCAAGTTAGAGCCAAACATTCCAACTTCAGCCACAAGAGGTCAGTAACACAGCACACAAAATAGATTTTGACAGGGGTAGCCACTGGAGTGGCTAGTACAAATGTTTCTTCTTCACACAAAACATGACCCAAGCATGCTTTCAAATCCATTATTCCCATGTAATTGTTTACTGAACATTGGGGTGACGTCCTACATTCTGTCCTCACTTGTTCTTTGCTTCTTTGAAAAAAAATGAAGCATCGACGGCCAAAATAACCAGTCCCCTTTCTTCGCTTTGATGTCACCAAAGCAGCATTTACCCATAAATCAATTCACCTCCATTGTGATCGCAGAGCCAGGAGAGGGGACTAATAGTGCTTTTATTTTCAAAGTGCACAGCAGCGAATAAAAGGCTGTTTACACAAAGAGCTCGTGGAAGAGAAGCTGGCACGGGGCTTTGAGGTGACCTTAAAGAGGGGATGTAGTGACGTAGTTTTTAATCATTATTTATACACTCTTATCAACTACTTGACTATTTTAGGTTTAGTTCAAATTTAGACCTGGAAGTATGTCCTATTACACATCCGTTAGTGGTACATGAAAAGTTCAATTCTGCAAGTTTTTTACATTTAACTAACCATTACTGTTTGTGAGTATTATGTGTAATGAATACCTAAATGGGGCTACGTTTATATGATGAAGGTCTGAACAGAAGATGCAAAAGTGGTGTTTTCACTTTTAATGCCAAGTTTAGACAAGCGTTTTCGGGAGGAAATCTGAATGCATGCGGTGACTCAAAAAGTGTGTGGAATTTGATCGGGTATGCATGCCGGGCAGCTAGGTGGTGATGTATGTGATATAAACACGTACGTGACGTGAGCAGATCTGACCAGAGTTTTGCATCTTGGGCAGTGTACACGGAAACGCTACGGCAGAGTGTATTCAACTTTTCCACTCTGGAGGGTGGTTTCAGATTTTTAAGCCCCAAAAACGCTGTCACCATCTAAACAAAAGGCTCTTTCGATAAAACATTTTGTCATTTTTACCCGCAAGCGTTCTCGTGTAAACAGGCCCTTAATAATATGGTTTACAAAGGCCATCATATACTTATACATCTAATACTGAAGATTGACGATGCATCTACAAATGTTGGGTTACTCAAAATGTCAACTTTCAATATTCAGATAGGCGTGATTGACAGGTAAATTAGCTAATCAGGGACATGCATGGTCTGCCCGTATCAAAACAAATATGGCTCCTTTCTAAGAAAAAAAGATATGAAAAAATCTCACAAGGGACTGAAAAACATAGCTGATTTCTGTGTTTTGTTTCATGCATTCACACACAAAACCTGTATATTCTGTTTCACCTTGTAAGTACGCCAATGTGCTTTTTAATTTCAGCCCTGAAACTGCCCATCTCTACTGAGAAAAAGATAAAAAGGTAGGTGGAGCAGGGCATTTGGAGCTTTGGAGATGGGCACAGACTAATAAAAAAAAAAAGATTACTCAAACATTTGTGAATGAAAAATGAAAAAAAGACAACTCATTTGTGCATAATATAAAGCCTTTAATCTATAGACGTGCTACACACTACCCTTGCAGACCCACACCACACAAAGCTGCAATCTTAAAAGTTTAGATGTTAGATTGAAGCAGAGTTTGTGAAGAGGCTAAAAGTCTGAAAGCGGGCTGACTCCTTGTTGTTTATATCACAGTGATGATACACGGTGGTGACAGAGAGAGCGCAGAAACAGCAGAGCTACTTCTGTGTCAGTGTCTGCGCTGAAATGACGAGAGGAGATAAGGTTCGACTGGGGAGAGCCAACGATTTCAACTCTGATTAAAAAGATCTACCCAGGGACCAAGGGAACAGAGCTACACACACAGAATGGGAAAAAGAAACAGTCGTGCAGTGAAATTGTAATCACATTTCAAATAGAGGCTGGCAGCCATTTTGGTCTGGGCACACTAGGTGATTTTTCCCTAACTTATCTCAAATATTCAATTAATCCATAGCCAAGCAACTTTTTTCAAGCCACCCACACAAATGATGTACCAGTAATTACTTTTTTCATTAATAAAAAGTCTTTGTTGATGAGATGTGAGTTGCCATTTGAGTTGTATTACTGTCATCTGGTGTGACACACAAAAGTCCAAGTGTACTCACTTTTACCCCCCTTTGTAAATTGTAATAGCAACTTTAAATTAGAGATCTACCAATTCAGTTTTTTCAGTTTCAATAACCAATATACCCAATCAATACTTTGACAATACCTGACACCAACGGAGCATTTCTTTCTTCAAAACATTAACAATTTCTTCCAAATCCAATTAAAGTGTTTCGTCTATGTAACAGCTACAGCCCCGAACAGCTTAGTTTGAATAAAAGCTCAAACATTGTGATATATTCTGCGACAACAAAAGCAAGTAATTACATAAATTGTTTGATACATTTATACATCAGCTGAACAAATACAGTTGGTACAGTTATTTTTTTGGATCTGATACTCAAACCACTGTACTGCTACGTTCCTACATTAAACACAACTTGAATGTTTTTGTTTGTGGAAAGGTCCGGGCATTAGTCTGAGTTAGTCGAGATACTTCACAGGCTTCTCAGAGTGACAGACACATGAGAGGGAGAGAGGAGAAAGGATCAGGAAATAAAATACTCATGGATTGTCACCAGAAATGCACCCAAATGTATCAGAGACAGAGATTACGACAAACTATTATTTACACAAGAAAGACTATTAACTAACTATTAACTATTCAAAGTCTATTTTTCCTGAATTTATTTTTGCCAGTACAGCATTAGTTGTAACAGCAAAATTAAACTTTCTAAAAAGCAATTTATTCACTTAGACCACTTTGTTATGATAAACTGCACTTGTTCTTTTCACATTGTTACACTCTGGGTTGAGAGCACATGCACTGAAGGTAACAGAGTATTTGAGCTCCCAGGCTTCTCGTCTTCTTTACTTCTTCCAGCATCACTATTGGAGAGGGATCTAAAACTCAGCTATGGCCCGGAGGAAACTGTGTCTAGATTGAATTTCAAATCGATGTTACACAAGTTGTCTTCAGCCTCAGCTATTTCCAACACAGAGCCAGTGCCAAGAGGGAGAGACTCGCTATCAGCTGTGGGTGGGAAAGGAGTTATAAAAATGCTGCAGTTCTAACATAGCTGCGACTTGTAAAAGGAGTTTGGAAGTTACTACATGTTAAATTGAGTAATAAGTGAGCTAGTTTGGGATTTATATATGGCAACATTGGATGCCACCTTAGGATTTTTCAAGGACTGAAGTGTAAATGTGTATGCTGTTTGTTATCCACAGGAAGATACAAAACAAATCAAATGTTTTCAGAATTGATCAGGACTAAAGCACTCAGTTACAAGACAGTTCAATAAAAAAAAGTAATTTCCCCATAGACTGTAGAAGTGGTCTAAGGGAGTGTCAAACGAAACTCAGGAGGTTAGCAGTTCAGGGGTGAAATAGGATCCAAGCTCCACATTAGGAAAAAATGGCAAAATAAAAACACCAGGATCATGTAGAGCGGGTTAATACGAACATTTTAAGACCGAAATGATGAGGCTCACGGCTGCACTTACAGAGAGAGGGAGTTGATGGAGCCTAAATGAGCACAAAAGCACTTGTATATTATCATTCTGTACCTTTACCACTACACTGCATGTTCCTTTTAATGTCAACTATCAGCTATTTTTTCCAACATGTATTTATTTATTATTTATTTTTATGTCAGACTTTATACTTGATAATTTGCATATCTCCAAAACAGCAATAGTGACAGCAATTTGGACATACTTCACACCTCTAGCAGCATGCACACTGTTCTAGCCAACTATTGCAATTAGTTTTTCCCACTCCCATTACCCATAGTTCAGCAGGCGTTTTTGCTTTATGGCTTGTCTTGTCTTTGAGGAGGCCATATGTCCGTGGGCTGGGGCACTATCTGAGAGCACCAGAGCTCAGTGCTGCCCCTGGAGCCAGAGGACACAGACCTCACAAGTATAGACAGCACATGAGTGATCTGAAATGCTTCGTCTGAGAGAAGAAGGGAAAATGGGGTCCCACGAAGAAATATGGACAGATGGCACAATTGCGATTAGATGTGCAATAATTGTTTAAAAAATGGGATTCTGATTAAAATGCTCATTGTAAACCACTCCAGGAGTTTGAGCAAAGGCTGAAACTTGAACTGCTAAACTAATACAAGAATCGCACGTATTTCAGAACATGTTTGTAGTGGTCAAAACTGACT